TACGTGCTCCGTGGGAGTGGGAGGAAGGGAGCCCACGAATGGCCCGCGCCGTGGAGGCATGGAAAGCGTAAATCTGTCGTTGCGCCCATATCGCGGAATCGTTTCGGGCTTTTGCTTGCACTTTGAGCCGGGCTTACTTTCTCTCCCTCTTTCATGTCAGATTTTTTATTATTCGTTTCACAGGTTTGCATGCGCGAAACGTAGGGCTGGGAACTTTACGTAGTTCCGATGGTGGGTATGCGTGTGCCAGCGCAGAGAAAAATTTTCCAGTCCATATCCAGCCACGTATTAATTAAAATTGAAAAACAATCACCGACGTTTGTGAAATGTTGAATTTTTGTGACAAAAATTTTAGAACAAAATGTTTTTAATGTTGGACAATTAATAAGGTGTCACTAGCTATATTGGAAATTCATCATTTCTGGGCAGCTTTTATCTTTAATCATGATTTTATGTAATTTTGCCAAATCTACCGTATCACGAAAAAAAAAAAANAATATGTTGAAAAACATACAGTATCAAAATAATCATTTTTGCTTGTGTATAATGAAAAACGAATCTCGAAAATTGAAGTAAAAATTTTAAATAAAATTGTTTACAAAAAGAATATTTGAACTTATTAAAAAAAAATTTCTTCTCACCTAAGGTGACAAGTGAGACTACCGTTTTTCGCCCTCGATGAGAAAAACAATATATGGAACTCAGGCAAAAACGTATAGCAACCACACCCTTCATGGAGTTTGAAAAAAAGATAAATGAAATGGATCGTTTTCTGTTAAAAAAAATTTTTAAGCTTCAAAATGTTAAAAAAGAAATAATATAGTCTCAAAAATTAAAAAAAATATTTTTATACTTTTCTACGTTAAAAAAATATACCAAAACATACCATCGCGATATTTACGATTGCTAGAAAAACCCAATGCGAGAGACCCATCATTTGGCAAAAATTTTAATGAAAACGAAAAATGTCGCACAAGCGCCAGCGCCCCTGATCCCCCAGACCGAGACGAAACGACAAAAAGTATAGGGAAAAAAAAAAAGTTTCGGGACAGAGAGGGCTCGACACACAGGCGACCAATTAGTCAATGCTACGTGCTCAGTCGAAGCCTTCGTTATTATGCTCGTACGCACGCGCCAAAGGCGACGAGGAGTGGAAAGCCTTACACGCGCGTAATACATATTTCGTCGTCGCTTGTTGGAGGATTTTTGTTGCCACACACGCACATTGCAGCCCAGGGAGCCCGTAAGCGCCACGCGATTAATTTGTCGGGCTTTGATCTGCGACGAACGAGCCGACGCCGGGAAAATTAGGCAGATTTATCGCCTCAGTCGCGCCCCGCTTGCTGCTTCATTAGCGAGCCGACGCGCTCTTCCTTCCGTGTGTATAGGTGCAGCGCGGCCTTGCTGTTTGACACTTGCGCGATGGGCAGTTTTCGCGCCTATACGAGTCGGATGAGTGTTCGACGTGCCTCGCTGACGAGCTGTTTGCCTAATTGGAAACAAAAGAAACAGCTGCGCTTTTTGGTGATTAATTTCGCTTCTACGGGATATTGTGGTTTAGCATATATGTATATGCGAGAGTATGATATGAAATAATTTTTTCTGCGGTCGTATCGACAAATGGATCATCTTTCGAGAGTCCTCGGCAAAATCTTTCTTATTGATTCGAGTCACCAAAGTAGACATCGTACATTTTTACTTATGTAGACACATATTTTTAATTTTCCTCAGTGTAATTGAATGTAAATTATAGATGGATAGAGGATTACTTGGTTATTTAAATTTTTATCAGCACAATGAAAGGTCGTGATCGACACATTTTTTATTCATGTTAACTTTTTGTAAAAGTAATTATTTTTTGTCCCATACTCAGTGATGCTTTTATAATTTTCGATTCTCTTTCCAATGATTAAAAAATATTCAAATGTTATTGGTAAAAATATTTGAGAAAAATCACTCGAATCATCAATTCTTCTTTAAAAAAAAGCACGTGTTCAAGAGAGTTTTTTAAGTCTCAATGAGTGGTCTGGGGGTATTTAAAAATTGAAAGTCATAGCTTACAAACTTTATTAACTGTAAACTTTGTATTGAAAATTTATGTGGCCTAACATAAAAAACAGAATAAAATTCAAAAGTACGGATGGAATTCATGCAACTTTCAACAGTTTTCTTAAGAAAAAAAAAAAAAAATATCTTCGTTATAAACTTGAAAAGTGTTGGTGTTCATGAAAAAATTTTACGTCAACCAATACTGGAACAGATATAAAAATGTTAACACATTTTCGTTAGTTTGCTCCAACAGGTTATTTAAAACGCAAAAATCAAATTGCAATAAAAAAAATGCAGATGCGAAGAGTAAAAAAGGTAAAACAATAGAGGAAATGGTATAAAGACAGATATACGAAAGAAACAAATAGATAAACATGGTCACTCATACGAAGATTTATGTAAAAAAGGCACGTATATAGACAAAAACTGCACAAGCAGAGACTTGTGAGACACAGAGACAATAACACAGGGGTTGACATAAAAATACAAAGATACATACAGACGAAGGAATGAAGAAATCAATGTATGCATACAGACAAAAATACACAAAAAAAAGAGATATGACAACATAAAGTTAGGAAATTTTCTTCAGGAAAAATTGCAAAAAAAGCAATTAAAACAACATTTTTTTCATTGGCGATGAGAATTGTAAGCATCCCACGATTAAAAGAGATTGAAAAAAACGTGTCCTTCAATCATAAGGCAAAAGGGAATCAGCATAAAATTTTGCGCCCATTATATACAAAACTTCCTCCATATGAATAAGAGCAATCACAAAACCTAATATTCCGTTCCAACTACTAAAAAATCATAATAAGCTGTAATCTTGAAAACGCAAATGCATCATCGGACGTGGTTGTCAAGAAATTCGCACGACGAGGAGTCCTTTTGACGCAGACAAATCGCAAGCTTGTATATCCGCGAAAAACCCGGTGCACTCGCACACACACACACACACACAGCCGTCATCCGTCGTAAAAAATCTCTGGCTTAAATATTATAAACTTTAATTAACGTTACATTTGAAAATTTTTTTAATTATTAAACTTGTTAAATAAATTTCAAAAGTAAATATTTATCAACAACTTTTCATGTAATGGTAATAGTGCTGTAGTCTAAATTTTTATATAATTTCAAACATAAAATGTCTTATAGATTTAAAATTAAGAGAAAATTGTAATATTTTTACCATAGTTTGGATTAAAATTTCAATTTCTTAATCGACAACACTTGAGATAACTCTTCTTGTTTTTTAGTCAAAATGAACACGCAACCTTCGCTAATAACAAATGAGTAAAGTTTAGATTAATGATTTTTATGATTTGCTTAAGAAAGTTACAGAAATTCTTTGTTTATTACTTTTCATAACTAATGTTCCAAAAAACAACTATTTATCACTGACCGTAGAGCGAAAACCAACCAACTAATAACTTATCATCCTAATTTTTTAATTAATTAATCCAGTTATATTTTTGAAATTAAAAAAAAAAATATTAGGTCAGACTGATTTACTTCTTTATTAAATATTATTGTATGGTTTATTCGTAAAAATTTTTACGACAATAATAAATATGTTGAAAAACATACAGTATCAAAATAATCATTTTTGCTTGTGTATAATGAAAAACGAATCTCGAAAATTGAAGTAAAAATTTTAAATAAAATTGTTTACAAAAAGAATATTTGAACTTATTAAAAAAAAATTTCTTCTCACCTAAGGTGACAAGTGAGACTACCGTTTTTCGCCCTCGATGAGAAAAACAATATATGGAACTCAGGCAAAAACGTATAGCAACCACACCCTTCATGGAGTTTGAAAAAAAGATAAATGAAATGGATCGTTTTCTGTTAAAAAAAATTTTTAAGCTTCAAAATGTTAAAAAAGAAATAATATAGTCTCAAAAATTAANAAAAAAAAAAAAAAAAAATCGTACCAGATTCCTTATGAATTTACTTTGGTGTAAATTGAGTGTTCAAATATTACCAGCTACATTACAGCACCTAAAGTGGGGGTCTAAGCCATTTCATTACAATTGTGAGTGAAATTAATGATTGAAATAGAAAATATGTGTATTTTGATTTTAACTCTTTAGTATATTAATTTGGTATCGAAAAGGGCATGGATGGTTTTAAAGAGTGCCGTTATATAAAAGTGCCGCCATCTATATATGCGCTAATTGATACGATGATGAATGTATTGATATTGCTTGTACACCTCTTAGAGTCATTTGAAATTTGAAATTAATGAACTATGATGAAATTTTGACCGTAACATTATTTGATAAGCTAACCATTTGAACAGGAACTAAATAATGCATACTAAATTCTAGAGTATATTGTATATTGTATTAAGATTCCAGCACGGTTTTTACGTATTCTATATCCCTAATCTCTATAACTTTTCGTGTTTTTTCCCGTAATTAACATCCTTTTTCTTCAAGTATGCGAGTCTTTCGTGCGGGCCCCTAGAAAAATTCCCCTGAGACGACTCGGTCATCCATCCTGGGTACTGTTTACAGGATTCAGCAATTGTCTCAAGCACACCCCCGATATTATTAAGTTTAATGGAAAGATATTTTTCCAATAAACCATTTAACTCGCTGTACCGACATTTTTATAACCGTTAGTGACTTTTTACCCGACGAGCTGGCTAGACGTTGGCTTTCCTTAAAAAAGTAAGCCCCTAGAGGTCCAGACATTACCAGAAAAATCGACTTTTTGTTTTAAAAACCAGATAAGTGGTGTTTCGGCATCTTAGGTACTTATCTTATCAGAAAAGACCGAGAAAAAAATCTCGATTTTCGATGGGACGTCGTTTTTAAGTATTTTTTAATGATTTTAAAATTTGTTGAAAATTTCAAGAGAGTTAAGTATCATATTCCCATTAACATTATAATGATGAGAATTAAAACCAAAGAGTTTACAAGTACTCAATTGCATTACCATGAGAACTAAAAAATACCTTGATAGTAGCCGTATAGATCTCTTCGATGGTAATCATCGTTGTCCATTTCGTAGAAATCATAGGAAATGTAGATCTGGTGATCGGGGTCACGTGAGATCGACAAATCGTCAGGCTCTGCAGAATTAAGCGAAGCAATGCAGTAGGAACCAGGTGTTTCCATTCCTTGATTATAGGGATTCAGTTCCTAAAAAATTTTATTGGAAGTAAAATAATGAACTAAACTCATTGATTAAAAAAAAGAGATAATAATTGATTTTTACGCGTATGTTAGTGGTGAACAGTCCGGTGCTTAATCTTGCCTGGGCTGTAGGTACATTCATGAGTTTAAAATCTGGCGCGCCCTTGTAGTGCAAGACCGCGACCTGATGGCAACCGAGTCTCTCACAAACAATGTCACCTACGAAGTACATCAAGTAGTTGTCGATTTCTTGATTCGCCTCCACCACAAAATCGTACCTCTCACCAGAAAGCGATCGAATCGAATCAACTGCGAAAATACATTATGTATAATAGTTGTAACTAACTCCTTATTATTTTCTCAATACATACATTATTTTATCCACCCCCCCATACATATTGGTATATTCATATATATCTAATTTGTAAATGCAAATTTTTTAAGTTACAGTAATGTAAACACATACGATATACCTTCGATTGGTTCAATGTCAGCACCATCGACACTTATGGCTAGCATAGTGTGATTGTTAATCGATAGATGAACCGGACAGTCCTGGACGACCAAGTTGGCCATTCTAAATCTGTATCTTTTACCCTGTGTACAAGTAGCCAAGCTACACTAATTGAAAGGCAAAGAGTTTTCTTAAAAAAAAAAAAAAAAAATATCTTCGTTATAAACTTGAAAAGTGTTGGTGTTCATGAAAAAATTTTACGTCAACCAATACTGGAACAGATATAAAAATGTTAACACATTTTCGTTAGTTTGCTCCAACAGGTTATTTAAAACGCAAAAATCAAATTGCAATAAAAAAAATGCAGATGCGAAGAGTAAAAAAGGTAAAACAATAGAGGAAATGGTATAAAGACAGATATACGAAAGAAACAAATAGATAAACATGGTCACTCATACGAAGATTTATGTAAAAAAGGCACGTATATAGACAAAAACTGCACAAGCAGAGACTTGTGAGACACAGAGACAATAACACAGGGGTTGACATAAAAATACAAAGATACATACAGACGAAGGAATGAAGAAATCAATGTATGCATACAGACAAAAATACACAAAAAAAAGAGATATGACAACATAAAGTTAGGAAATTTTCTTCAGGAAAAATTGCAAAAAAAGCAATTAAAACAACATTTTTTTCATTGGCGATGAGAATTGTAAGCATCCCACGATTAAAAGAGATTGAAAAAAACGTGTCCTTCAATCATAAGGCAAAAGGGAATCAGCATAAAATTTTGCGCCCATTATATACAAAACTTCCTCCATATGAATAAGAGCAATCACAAAACCTAATATTCCGTTCCAACTACTAAAAAATCATAATAAGCTGTAATCTTGAAAACGCAAATGCATCATCGGACGTGGTTGTCAAGAAATTCGCACGACGAGGAGTCCTTTTGACGCAGACAAATCGCAAGCTTGTATATCCGCGAAAAACCCGGTGCACTCGCAAAGTCCGAGAGGTCTGCGATTCAACATCGAACTGAAAAATCTCATAGCTGCAGGGGAGAAAAAAAAAAAAAAAAAAAAAAAGGAACCACCAAAAAAAGCCCTTTCCCGCAGAAACCGATGGTGCTGATGGCCCGCCGAGCTCGTAAAATTAAACTCCACCGCGGAATCGTCCTTCCCAGAAACAAAGGCTCGCCAAGCCTCCCTCTCTTCCTCCCTTTCCGGGCATTCCCACTACTCGCGCTCTCGCTTGGCTACATCGTAAAAAGCGATATACTAACGATCGTCGCTCGCAAGTGCCGAAAAGACCGCCTCACCCCCCGCGGTATAGGTGTCGCGTAGCGGGTGTACAGCCGAGCAGCGAGATGAAAGTGTCCCGGTCGGGTCACGCGACGTCGATTCGCGCGCGCTTACCGTGCCACACCCACCCCTTATTTCCGCGTAGTTTATGCACATAGTGACGCGTTTTACACACCCATTAACGGTACGCATATTTGTACACCCAACTGTATATATATATATGTGCGCTTCCTTCTGACTCTCTGCGCGCTTATACGAAGCTTTAAAAGAAAAGTCCTTTCCTCCTTTTTTCGAGTAGTGTGTGTATGTGCGAGGGACCACCACCAGCGCGCCAAAGTGCACTTCTTCTCCGTTCGGTGACGCTTCGATAAATTTCAGGGCGAGGGGGTTCGGACGTTGGGCGCGTTGAGAGGTTTGTGCTTGTTTATTTTGGCTCGGGGGGAGGGAAAGGAAAATTTTTTTTTCCACCCTCGGGAGTGAAAGCACGGGCTTTCCTTTTTACGAGTGTGTTTTTGGGCCGGGCATTGGTGCACCGCAGAGCGGAAAAGCGGAATTGTTTTGAGAGGCGTTTGAGCAGTAGCAGAGACACGTCGAGCGGTGCAGGGTTGTTGTGTTTGGATTATGATTTTTTTTTTTTTTTTTTTTTTTTATTATAAATGTTTGGTCGGAAAAAATGTTGGAAACTAGGAAATACGGTGGGATCGCGTTGCAATCGAATTATGGAAAGTACTCGGTTGGATGGCTTTCTTTTCATTCGGTATAACGTATTAACGGAGGTAACAATTTTTTTTTTTAATTTGCAACACTTTTGATATAAAAAATACGATACTTGGGAGTAAACAAAAAAAAAACTTTCGAAGCAATAAAATTAACAGATATGAATAGGTATTTAACACGACCCAAGGTGTTCAGACGGAAACATGTCGAGTGTCTCGAAAATGAGTGAGAAAGATTGATACGATGGTTTGTCAAGTCGTAACAGATCACTTCTCAAAAGTCGCAACAGCGCAAGTGGAGTGGGTATATTAGAGAGGAAGCTTCCCGCGATGTGTGCGTATGTGCAAAGGCAAGTGGAAAAAAAGGCAGAAAGAGAGTTTAACAGCTGTCGGCTTCCAGACAAAATGAGAAAGCTATAACGAAGGGTGGTTTGTTATGAAAAAATATTAATGACAAGTGTGCGCACATAAATTGAAGGTTTTCGATTTTTCTGAGATTTCCAAGTTTTCATTCAGGTTACGCCTGAATAGTGATGATGTATAATGATCGGAAAATTGTTTTTTAAGTTTTCGGTACTTTTTAGATAAATATCAGCTTGGTTTAATTTTTTTTTACACGCAACTCAAGCCTGTGTTTTTCTTCACTTTGAATTTTTAATATTTATAAAGGCGGAATTTTTGCAAAAAAAAATATATATATCAAACTGAATTCAAAAAATTGTAGTGTTTTCGGTGTGATTTACTACTCGAAATGAAGTAAAGGGTACAAGTCAAGCGAGTCAAACCTTATTTATTCTTGTTGGTGGTACGGATTAAGTTTTAAATATTCTAGCTGAGAAGTAAATGCTATCAGTCAATGACATGTAAAATTATTTTCAAAAAATCTTAGTATATCCAAGCCCTTATTTTAGGGGTTACAAGTTTTTTTTAAGGTTTTGATTTAAATGTATTTATTGACCTCATTACTTACTAATGATCTCAAAACCAATATAAGTGCTAGATGGTTCGTCGCTTCTTACGAAAAATAATGCAATTCAGTTTTTTTCGAAAATCGTGCATTTTTACTAGAATCTCTTTTGCGTAAAAAATTTTTTAATTTATCATGATAAAAATTTTTCTAAAGTCTTGTTTTAAGAAAAATCTCAGTCACTTTCTTTTTCGTAAGGGGCGACGATTTAATGTGACACACCATGCATTTTAAAAATTTAAGATGATCTTTGACGAAAAATTAATTTTTACAGTATTTTACTTGATTGCATGACTGGTTGTAAAAATATAAACGTAGATTTTCAAGAGCAGGTGACTTCACAATAAAAGAAATAAACATTACAATCGAGATCACTTATTTCGGAAAAGCTGTAGATCGTACTTAATCAAAAAATCATGAAAAATAAATATGTTTAATTCAAAATTAGATGTTGGCCAGTTAAGTGCGTAATGATCAAAATTCTACAGTACAATAAAATTCAAAGGAACAATAATTTATCAAGTAGCGCTAATTGTCATGATTGATACTAATCAGCCTCATTGACCGAGGGAAGAAAAAAACTTACTAAAGTATTTAGTTAACAATGAACCTTAATTTTCGCTGCAAGATATTTTTATCCCCAGCCAGTAAATTGTCACTGATTGAGATTATTGAAGGAGTACATTGGCATTGTAGGTATGTTTCGATGATTGCACATTTTGAATTGGCAATACAAATTATAATACGAATAAAAAGTACAATCTTTTCAAGCCAAACCCTGCAACTCGACTGGCTTTTTTCAGCATCGTGCAACAGAAAATGATTGCATTTCAGTACGAAGATAATTTCTTTGAAAACCAAATGGTACTGCGCGAGCAGGAAAGAAAGAAGAAGAGAAAGAGTCATTAAGGTCGGATGGTGTGTGTATATCTTCTCGCCCGAGGAGGAAAAAGAGAGGAGGCTGGGGGACACTAATATGTTTACATAGCACGGTCCCTTGCCCAAACGCATCAATCACGGCCTATGATAGTCCCTCTCCGTTAGCTCTATAGTGGGCCTCGGCTCGGCTGGGCTATTAAGCGCGGCGAACACACGCGACTTTTTGACAGCACCAAGCTTGCCGGACGTCATTTTCTTGCGCAATTTTTTTTCCTCTCCTCGCTGACTAGTTCGGATGATGGGACGTGCTTGTCGACTTTTTTTGTATGACGAGTCCGACGCGTGCTCCCCAAGTGTTTGCTGATACGAGTAGGATGGTACGGGGCACACGTTGGACCACGTGGACAGTATCCGATGACGATGGTCCAGTCATTTTGCGGGACATCTGTTTCAATAAAGATATCAGAAGAGTCGATTCCACTTATCGTCCCAAGCGACTCATTGATGATTATTCGCACGAAATGTACTCTTTACTTAAATTATTGAGTCATTATTAGTATTCATAAAAATAATTTGTCCAAGTACGCTCGTTTTTTCACGTTGAACCTTATCTTGTCTTACTAATAGTATAAATACAAAAGTGTCCTTGAGTGTTACTGTTATGCTTAAACTTTCAAATAGATTTCAGCTCTGTATTCAGAAGTAAATATGTACTTGCAAAATCAAATAATAAAATCATTGTCTCTTTTCTTTTATTTTAGTAACTATAAACGTAAAAATAAAAAAAATTGAGTAATAATTACTAACTTAAACAAAAAAATTTTTTTTAATAAAAAATGTATATATGAAGACAGTTTTTTTTT